TCAGAGGCACAGCCATGTTTATCAAATAGAAAATCAGAACAAACATTATGAAATTTTGTATATGTGTTAAAGGGGTGGAGCTCTGGAACAACTGTACAGAAAACTTAAAATTGTGCACCAGTCTCTTTCACTTTATAAAGAAGTTTAAATGTTTAACTCTGGACAGATACATGAAATATGATACTTAGTTTGTGCTGTAGTACTTTGTTGTTCTGTTACTGATTAGTTTGTTTCCTCCTGCTGTATTTATGAAGATGAACTGGTGTCAAGATGACGCTTCGACAAAGGAAAAAAGGGTAAAGGCATAATAAGCTTAAGCTTCAGCCTACACCTTTTCGGTCTGTGTGTGTTAAATATGACTGTCTAATGTCAAAATATACCTGTGACCGAAATAAATAGATAAATAAAAATAAATAATACAATTTTACTATTTATAGGTATGTGTTTGAGTAAAAGGAAAATTTTTATTTCATTCTATAAACTACTGACAACATTTCTCCCAAATTTCAACTAAAAATATTGTTATTTAGAGCATGTATTTGCAGAAAATGACAAATGGTCAAAATAACAAAAAAGATGCAATGTTTTCAGACCTAAAATAATGCAAAGAAAACAAGGTCATATTGATTTTAAAACAACACAATACTAATGTTTTAACTTAGGAATAGTTTAGAAGTCAATATTTGGTGGAATAACCCCGATGACCGTCCATCTTCCTCTTGATCACGTTCCAGAGGTTTTCGTGTCTGGTAGATTGGGTTGGACATGAGAGGGTCTTGATCTGGTCGTCCTTCATCCACACCTCGATTGACCAAGTTGTGTGGCTCTGGCTCAAGCTCTGTCCTGTTGGGAAAAAGAAACAGTCCTAAGAGTTGGGGAACATTGTCAGAGCAGAAGGAAGCAAGGTCTCTTATTTTTTTTCAGAGCTGTATATCGTATCGAATCGAAAGTGCACAGTATCGAGGTATGTATAGTATCGGCAACTTCTAAATGATACCCTGCACAAATGACGAGACAAAATTATAACATAGATCAGAAAATAGCGTAATATGGGCCCTTTTAATTTACTCTATCATGTTTATTTAAATGTTTTTACTGTTATTCTATCTAGGTTTGGGAGTGGACAGAGGAGCAGACAAAGTGCAGGGGAGGGAGTGGGCGTCCATCTTGTCTGGTCAGGTGCAGCCTCCTCCCGTCTCTGGGTTCACTTCAGCCTGACCTCCACGTGAGGAATGTTCCCTCTCGTCTCTCCACCGTCTCACCCGCCTCTTTCTACAATCACTCGCTTTTTGAGCACTTATTAGCGGTTAAAAAAAGAAGACGAAGAATATCAGGAATGCAACGGGAAAGTACTTGGATTGAAAACGGTATCATAGCTTTAGTTTGGAAACATTTTGAAAATTTTTAAAGGACCCATATTAGACTTTCTGATCTATGTTATAATGTTGTTTCCTCATCACAAACAGACATGGAGTTGTGTTTTGTTTCATTCACACATGTTTTTTTTTCTTGAAAAGGACAGGAGGGGGGGACTGTCCCTCCTTTATGTCGCGTGGACAGTTCCCCCCCCCCTAAAACCTAAGACATAGTCCCTCCAGCGTGTCCTAGGTCTTCCCCGGGGCCTCCTCTCGGTGGGACATGCCCCGAACACTTCCCGGGGAAAGCACCCTGGGGAGTTGTTCTGGATATGTACGTTGTCTGGGCTGTCCATTAAACCAGACCTAAAACAGGGTCTAAAAACAGGGTCTAAAAACAGGGTCCAAAGTAGGTCCAAAGCAGGTCCAAAGCAGGTTTAAAACAGGGTCTAAAAACAGGGTCTAAAACAGGGTCTAAAGCAAGGTCTAACACTGGTCTAACACTGGTCTAACACTGGTCTAACGCAGGTCTAACACTGGTCTAACACTGGTCTAAAGCAGGTCTAAAGCAGGTCTAAAGCAGGTCTAAAGCAGGTCTAAAGTAGGTCTAAAGCAGGTCTAAAACAGAGTCTAAAACAGGACCTAAAATACGTCTAAAACTGTTCTGAAACAGGGTCTAAATCAGGGTCTAAAACAGGGTCTAAAGCAAGGTCTAACACTGGCCTAACACTGGCCTAACACTGGCCTAACACTGGCCTAACACTGGCCTAACACTGGCCTAACACTGGCCTAACACTGGCCTAACACTGGTCTAACACTGGCCTAACACTGGTCTAACACTGGTCTAACACTGGTCTAACACTGGTCTAACACTGGTCTAAAACAGAGTCTAAAACAGGACCTAAAATACGTCTAAAACTGTTCTGAAACAGGGTCTAAACAGGGTCTAAAACAGGGTCTAAAACAGGGTCTAAAACAGTGTCTAACACTTTTCTAAAGCAGGTCTAAAACAGGATCTAAAACAGGGTCTAAAACAGGGCCTAAAATACATCTAAAACTGTTCTGAAACAGAGTCTAAACAGGGTCTAAAACAGTGTCTAACACTGGTCTCACACTGGTCTAAAGTAGGTCTAAAGCAGGTCTAAAACAAGGTCTAAAACACAGTCTAAAACAGAGTCTAAACAGGTCTAAAAGCAGGACTAAAACCTTGTCTAAAATAGGACTAAAACAGGATTTAGCCAGGACTTAATCATGCCACTTGGGCCTTGTACCCCCCTCCAACCCCCTCCAGTCCGTGATATATTTTCTGATATAAACTTGGTCCATGGCGCAAAAAAGGTTGGGGACCTCTGTAATGTAGGATCTTTGTCAGTCCTTTGGCTCTTGAGTTCAGGATTGTAGAAGTAGAGTGTGTATATTTTCCATGTCAGTGTCTCGGCTCCAGAGTAAACCGTGGCAGGCTAAAGTTAGAGCTTAAAGTCAGGTCCTCTTGTTTTCATTGGCAGGAGACAGCTGTGGTCTGTTTATCAGGTCTGGGCTCTTTGAGGAGGCTCTTTAAAGTCCTCACAGAAATGTTTTGATCCACACTTCAGATCTTATATATACATATGGAGTCATTAGTTTAATCCATAAGTCTTGCCAATAGGTTGCGTTTACGTTCGACAATTTGACGATGTTGTAATGTGAAATGGAGGGCAGAGGCCTATAGACATATCCAAATTCTTTGATCCACTAATACTGGACCTTATCATTATTTGTTTGAGACTGGCTCCGCAAACTTCCCATATTAAAGGAACAGTCCAATCCACTTTATTTCTATAGCACATTTTATAAACAAACAACTTCCAAAGTGCTGCACAAATACATAGTAATAACAATAAGAATATAATCATAAAATAAACGCTCAGATTTAATCATACTAATTTTAATACAATAAAACCAGTCAAATAAAATAAGAGCAAAACCATAGAATAGCAATAATGAAATAAAACCATCCATCTACTTTCTTCCACTTATCCCTTGCTGGGTCATTGGTGCACCAGTCTAAGCAGGGAATCCCCGACTTCCCTCTCCCCAGACACATCCTCCAGCTCCTCTAGGGGGACCCCAAGGCGTTCCCAGGCCAGCCCAGAGAAATAGTCCCTCCAGTGTGTCCTGGGTCTTCCCCGGGGCCTCCTTCAGGTGGGACATTCCCGGAACACGTCCCGAGGGAAGCTCCCAGGAGGCATCCGGAACAGTTGCCCGAGCCACCTCAACGGCTCCTCTCGACATGGAGGAGCAGCGGCTCTACTCCGAGCTCCTCCCGTGTGACTGAGCTCTGCACCCTATCTCTAAGGGAGCGCCCAGCCACCCTGCGGAGGAAACTCTTTTCGAGCGCTTGTATCTGCAAACTCGTCCTTTCAGTCATTAAGAGCTCAGGAACGTAGATTGACTGGTAAATCGAGAGCTTTGCCTTTCGACTCAGCTCCCTCTTCACCACAATGGTCCGATACAGCGACCACATCACTGCCAACGCTGCACCGATCCACCTGTCAATCTCACGCTGTGAAAAGCAGCTGGGATGAGGATCAGCTCCTCCAAGTCTGAGGCCGTGGTTCTCGACCGGAAAATGGTGTCTTGCCCTCTCTGGGTGGGTGGAGAGTCCTTGCCTCAAGTGGAGGAGTTCAATAAAACCAATAAATTATAAATAAATAAAAGACACAGAGGACAGCTGCACACCACTCCACATTGCTCTTTCAAAATCTAACACACACTCTTGGACTGCTGCTTCACTGGGCAATAGTTCCTTTATTGCTTTAAACACAACTTTATAGTCACACTTTCTCATACTGGACATGTAGACAAAACAGAATGGTACTTGCTTCACGGTACGTCCGCTTTTGATGAAGGAGTGAACCATGGATCTATTAAAATAACTGGAGGGTGTTGCTCCTTGTAGCTGCCTCCAGGTGACGTAGTGACACTCACTGGAACTTCAGCGGAAAAAAGTCAGTAAAAAAAAATCCTACTCAGAACATAGATCCTGGCACTAGATTCGCTCCTGTAACCGTGACCATCGCGAGCCTCATTTGAGCGACGCTGAACTCTGTGGGTGACATCACACTCGCTTAATCCAGTTCTTTTTACAGTCTATGTGCGCTGTCCATCATACAATTTTTTTAGAAAGTCAGAAGGAATGTTGTCACTGCCTGGTTGCGTTTTTTAGTTTGTATCTCAGTACATGGACAGGTGGCTCATGTTAAAGCTCAGAACCTCCTGAATTCACTCACTGAGCTGCACTAGCGCTGATAAATGTTTTTAATCATCTTGAGAACAAAACATCAAATTATAATTAAAGTAAATGGGACATAATGGACAATGGTTTTATAAGTAAGAAGAAAAGCTGCCTCATATGTGGGACACAGATAAGTCAAGTTTGTGAAATTTAAAGTGAAAATCTACAGTTCCTTTTTAAAGTTACGGTTTAAAGTCATTTTAAAATCTGAAGCGACTGTACAAAAATCATTAGAGTTGAGTATATTTATAGTGCCAGCAAGGATGTTGAAGAGTTCGTGTTTGATGTGGATAAGCCCAGTATTTAGCGGCATTAACCATAAACCATAATGTGCATTCTCGTGTGTTGACTGTGTGGGTGTTGTGTTCCAGGAGCTGTGCCAGTGCCGTCCCTCCGATGGAAACTGTTCCTGTTGCAAAGAGTGCATGTTGTGTCTGGGGCACCTGTGGGAGGAGTGCTGCGACTGTGTGGGTGAGTCTCTAATCAGCGCCGACTCTCTTTTCACTTATCTCAATCAATAATCCGACTCTACCAGTCACAACATGAACAGAACAGTATACAACGTTATCTGAATGTGTCAGTTCAATCTACAAATCTTCAAAATAAGTCCCTATTTACCCGGGACAGTCCCAGTTTTGAGCCCTGTCTTCCCTGTCCCAGTAGATTTGTACAAAACCACTAATTTGTCCCAGTTTTATACAAGAATGTCCCAGGTGCAGAGGTGGGGACTTAGATGTGAGTCAAACTTGGTTCACTATTTTTAGGACTTGCGACTTGACTTGATAAAATGGATAAAGAATTAGGACTTGACTTGGACTTGGGGACTTGAGAAGACTTGAGAAGCACTTTTAAATCTGAATTCTTTCTATTCTGACTGTAATGATTCACACCAAGATCTAGTCAAGACATTTAAAAACGAAAACTTAACTAAATTCATTCTTAAAACTCTTACATACTATATAAATATACAAAGATTTTTTTAAGTATAATTTATCTTAAAAGTCATGTAAATTGCAAAAAATCTAAGCTATATTTGGTACTGTGGTTTAAAGACTTAAAATGACTTGAAGCTCAAAACAGACGACTTGGACTTCACTTGGATTTATGGGACTTGAGACTCGACTTCGACTTGCCTGTATTTGACTTGGGACTTGACTCGGACTTGAGGTCAAAGACTTGAAGATTTGAGAAGCACTTTTAAATCTGAATTATTTCTTTTCTGACTGTAATGATTCACACCAAGATCTTGTCAAGACATTTAAAAAGGAAAACTTAACTAAATTAATTTGTACAACTCTTATATACTCTATAAATACTCATATACAAATATACAATGATTTTTTTTTTTTTAAGCACAATTTATCTTAGAAGTCATATAAATTGCAAAAATCTGTGATATATTTGGCACTTTGGTTTAAAGACTTGAAATGACTTGAAGCTCAAAGCAGATGACTTGGACTTGACTTGGGCTTATGGACCAGTGACTCGAGACTCGACTTGGACTTGCCTGTATTTGACTTGGGACTTGACTCAGACTTGAGGTCAAAGACTTGAGACTTACTTGAGACTTACTTGAGACTTACTTGAGACTTTCAAAACAATGACTTGGTCCCACCTCTGCCTCTGTGTCCCTATTTTTGACCAATTTGATCCCTGCCAACAGTTAAAAATGCATAAATTGTCTTTTCTTTGGGTAAAATACAGAAAAGCTGCTTGATCAAAACACAAAGAAAATGTGACTATACTGACTCACATTAGTGCCGAGTGCAGAACAATTTTCCTTAATTATACACTCGTTTCACAATTTTATTATTACCAACCACCACAAACTGAGAGTGTCCCAGTTTTTTATTTTGAAAATCTGGTCACCCTATTACAGGGCCCATATTCCTCTATTTTTTTAAAATCTATTTTATAATGTTTCCTCATCGCAAACAGACCTGGAGTTGTGTTTTGTTTCATTCACACAGGCAGGATTCCAACTCTTTTTCACTGACAAAACTTCAAAACTTTTCCATGACTTTTTCATGACATAAAGTGAATTTTCCATGAATTTACCACACCCTGCATGTGTAGAACTGATACTTTTAGGGCTAAATATGAAATGTTAACCCTTTCCACTCACCTTATGGATGGTTATTGTAGTTTTTTAACATTCAAAATACTGTCAGTGCATTTATTGTCGTATCTTTGTCTCTACGTTCAGAAATAATCATAATAGCCTATTGATAACTTAACAGAACGCTGTAGTTGCGTGAAAGAGAAACTAAAACTCCATAACTTTTCCAGGCCTGGAAAATGACATTATCAAGTTCCATGACTTTTCCATGACCGTGGGAAACCTGCACAAACCCTGTATATTTAACCTGAGTTCTTTAAGTCAGAAAACACACAATACAGGAAGAGTTCTACTGTGTTTTTAAATGCATTCACTAAAATAATTTTCATAATTTCTGCCCTGGAATTTCCAATATCTGCTTATCTGCTGCAAAAGGTAAAATGTACCTGTTAACTTGAAGTACTACTACTCCTTCATGACATCACAAGGTGGAACAGACCATTTTGAGCTTTGGAAATGTAGACAGACTAATAATGTAGGATTACTCAAACACATGTAAATGAAACAAAACTTAAATCCAGGTTTGTGTTTTTGAGGAGGTAACCAAACAACGTGGCTCAAAGCTCACAAGAGTCAGTGTTTTATAATTTACGACCTTTAAATGTCCCACTCAGAGAAGCGAGCGGCTGTTGTGAATAACGTCATCGTGGCCTAATGCAGTCTAATGCAGCGTGTTTGTGATTCATGAGTGTGAGCGACATGAGGCAGACACAGATCCAACAGAGCGGACGAGCTTTTAACCTCTGCTGTGTAAATGACAGGAACAGGGAAGTGCACTCACAACTATGAAGATAAGTTACAGCACAGACTCAGGAGTGTTGGGGAAGCTCGGGCTCTTTTTATGGACGTATGTGGGTGAATTCTGATGCCTTATCTTTTTTAAATGGTGGCTGTAGTGTCCATTTATTTTTTGATACATAAAAAGAAGAAAATATCGCAATTTTTCTTCTTTATAATAAACTTTAAACAGCAGCTACAGATTGAGTCTGATCTGGTTTGGTGAAGTGTTGTCAAGATACATGATTTCGATACAAAGGCATAAACTTGATGCTCAATACTGATTCTGATTCTAAGATGATAATAAAAAACATGATTTATTCAGACAACAGAATGTGATTTTCAAGATTAAATTCTAGTACTTTCTTTTGTATTACCATGCGGTCTTATATCTATGTAATCCCTCAGTGATCCAGTGCAAAAAAACAGCTAAAATTTATAGATAGATTTTATTTTATTTATTTATTTATTTCATTCATAAAGCATAAAAAGACATCGACAGTGTCACAACATCAAACACACAAGAAATGAATGAAAAGGAGCAGAAAGAAGATAAAATCTCATGTTATCTGCCCCCCTTTCCTTTTTCAAGACAAAACATCAACACCGATCGTCACTAAGCATTCCATATTAGTTCAGGCACAATTACTCATCAATTGCAAACAGTAAATCTTCATTATTATACACAACTTAGTTTTCTTTTTCATACAGACACAGTGCAATCGATTTTATATGTTTTTTAAATGTCATCATTGTACTTGATTCTTTTATTTCTTTGTCAAGACTATTCCATAAGTGAACTCCTTTCACAGCGACACTTCGCTCCATAACCTTGGTTCTGAATCTGGGTTTTTTAAACATGTAGGTTCCTTTTAAATTGTAGTGGCTTGTTCTCATCTCAAACAGTTTTTGAATATTTAAGTGTTTAGTAGCCAGGCTGGTGCCACTTAGTGCCTACACTCAGTTTCATTTCTCTCCAGTGACTAGGTCAGGAATCAGAACACACTAGACGGTTTGCAAAAACCTCGGAAGACCGCACACCGACCAATCAGACAAGAGCTGTGAAGCCATGACGTCAAACTCCCTGTCCCTTTTGTGGTACAGCACAACAGTAAACAAAGCGGTCGAGATGGATGTAGACGAAGACAGACATTCTGTGTTGGCAACGATTCCCGAGATCGAGGATTTAAAGCTGGAACAAAGAGTTGTTTGGTGAATTTTATCAAGGGGAAAGACGTTATTACCCTTCTTCCTACGAGATTTGGCGCATTACAAATGTCACGACCAAATAGCAGCAATTGGTTAAATAAAAAAAGCACCCACCTACCGTCGAGCAAACAAATCCTAATGCTGCGAGGTCAGACGGTTTCCACAAAGAGAAACTGACTGATGAATCAGGCTAAGTGTTTATATCTTCTATCAGAAAATGACTTAAAAGTTGTGAAATTCTTTGATATTCTCTCTGATAACATATTTTTACTTGACAAGTTGTCTTAAAATAAACTACCTCTAGACTAGAATTAAGCATCTCTGAACTAGTAAGTAGATAATAAATCTGAAAACAAGATGAATAACCTGATATAAATTTTAAATCTTGGCCAGATCAGAGAAATTTTCAGTGGTTCAGGCTCCGTAGTCCATGGGCGTGTACTAGTCTTTGTGCTCTTATACTTGTTCTGATGTGAGGGCATATTAAATCCAGATGGTACAATATGGTTTTTGTTTGGTAGGTTTTAAACTTTCTGAAATGTGTATTGTCATAAGAAAATGTGTAACCCAACAGACAAAGGTATAAAGGAAATTTGTGAACGTTTGTGTTTATTTTTTCAGTCCAACTTCATACTCTGTATTTCCAGCCGGAAACAAGCAGGACCTAAACATGAACTTTAACCCTGGAGTGTAAATCCAAAACAACCGGATTTCAGAGAAGACCCAGTCTAGTCCTGGTCCAGTCCTGGTCTAGACCTGGTCTTGGTCTGGTCCAGTCTAGGTCTGTATGCAGCCCTGGTCTAGTCCTGGTGTAGGTCTAGTCTTGATTTAGGACTGATCAAGGTCTGGTCTGGTCTAGGTCTGGTGTAGTCCTGGTTAAGGTCTGGTATAGTCCTAGTCTAGTCCTGGTGTAGTCTTTTTGTAGTCTTTATCTAGTCCTGGTCTGGTCTTGGTATAGTCCTAGATTAGGTCTGGTGTAGGTCTGGGCTAGGTTTGGTGTTGTCTTGGTGTAGTCTGGGTCTAGGTCTGGTGTAGTCCTGGACTAGGTCTGGTGTAGGCCTGGTGTAGGCCTGCTGGACCAGCCCTGGACTAGGTCTGGTGTAGTCCTGGTCTAGGTCTGGTGTAGTCCTGGTCTAGGTCTGGTGTAGTCCTGGTCTAGGTCTGGTGTAGTCCTGGTCTAGGTCTGGTGTAGTCCTGGTCTAGGTCTGGTGTAGTTCTGGTCTGGTCTAGGGTCTAGGTCTGGTCTTGGTCTGGTCTTGGTCTAAGTCTGGTCTAGGTCTGGTGTAGTCCTGGTCTTGGTCTGGTGTAGTCCTGGTCTTGGTCTGGTCTAGTCCCAGTCCAATCTCAGTAGAGTTCTGGGCTACTA